CCCCCCCCCCCCCCCCCCAAATCTTGAGTGTGCATAAGTATTCACCCCCTTTGCAATGAATCCCCTAAATAAGACGTAGGCCAACCAATTAACTTCAGAAGTGCCATAATTAGATGATTATGTACAACTCCCAATTAGATATATTATTGCCACACAAGATGGATCCAACTCTTTATACAGTTGAGCATTTGTGTTGAATATACATTTCAAGCAAGGCATTACTTGAAGGCATTTCAGTAAAGTTCAGATTTGTTTTATTTACGAACAGATAACAGACAACTGCATGAATACATTCACTGTAAAGGAATCAACAGACTTGTAGGGTGTAATGTACATATTACTACTTACCTGTCATATCCAAGAACTTGAATGCTAGTTTGTTTAATAAATTTGATTTGGAATTCCAAATGTAAGTATATAATCCAGCTTGTTAAAACTCAAAGTCTGATTTTGAAGAACTGGCAGAACATCTCCAGAAACCTTTATTCATGTTACAAGACACATGTACTGTATTTTAACTATTACAGATATGTAATTTCATCTTTTAATGTTTCCTTAGACACATTTGCCAGCAAAGTAGCCGCAGTTCAAGATCCTCATGCTGATGCTTCCATTGGTAACGTGACTGGTAGCAATGCAGTTAATGTTTTCTTAGGCTTAGGAGTGGCGTGGAGTATTGCTTCTATATTTTGGGCTGGAAAGGGCAAGAGCTTCCATGTGCAGCCAGGGAGCCTGGCCTTTTCTGTAACCCTTTTCACAGGGCTCTCTATTGTTTGCCTCTGTGTTCTACTTTACCGCCGACGTCCACCTGTAGGAGGAGAACTTGGGGGTCCTCGGATTCCAAAAATACTGACTAGTATTTTCTTCTTTAGCCTCTGGTTGGTGTACATTTTACTTGCATCGCTAGAGGCATACTGTCACATCCCTGGCTTTTAAAGGATTGTGTGCCTCAATGCAATGAGCTACAGCAGTTCTATACAATGTGTCTTCCCAGGATCCTTTGGTCAGTTCCAGTAAAACATTTTAGCCATTAGTATGTGAAAACGATATGGACATTAACAATATTAAACAGCCTGGTGCAAAAGACCACTGCTCTTTATAATGTTGTCTTCACAGTTTTTTTTGCTGGTCCTCAGACAATTACAATTTTCTGCCAAGATTAAGACTGAAACAAATTGACCTAACTTATCTCCTTAATATTGGAGAGCACTGTTAAATACAAGACTTCTTGCGCGATTATTTCTCTTCCACTTTGGGATTGTAATGAGGCAATAAGGCAATAAAGTTAAAATACACCAGTGGAATCAACCTACTACAACTGGAAGTGTTGGTGAACAGGCAGACAGAGATAATGGGTGATATTTGTCCCAGAAATGTTGGGACATAACCGCGATTTGTCTTCTGAGGGTATTGAAGCAGCACAAACCGACAAAAGGATAGTCATATTCAGGGCTTCCATTATTTAATGGGATCTTCCACTGTAAGTAATTTGCAGTTAGATTAGGAAAAAACTGTGTTGGATTTAAGGGCACCCTTCAATATAACTCACCTACAGGCCCCAAGTATTCTTACAGGTGGTAGGGACCATGATAGTCCACATTGCAAAGACAGGATAAGACTGAATGGCCTGAAAAATCTAAAAGCTATGTATGTTTAAATCTAATATGAACTTTCTAGAAGGTACCAGTGGCCTAAATCTCGCAACAGATTAGTCTCTTGGGTACTTGGGTGCTGAGATCTCAACACCTGAGCTCCCAGCTCTACAGTGCTGCCATGGCCATGACAAGGAAGGCTCATTATTTAAATGTTTCTGCATTTTCCAATTGAAATACATCCTTGCTTTCACTTTGTGATGAATTTCGTTTTCAAGATATATAACGAGTCCAAGAGTTCAAAGCAGTAGTTTTCACTCAAAATTAAAATAAACAATTTTGAGTTAGAATTGGCATTTAATTGTAAAGTAAAAAGTAAATTGTTCAAAATGTAGGATATGATATTAAAAGCTGAGATTTTGGGAAAATATTTTTTCTCTTGAGTCTCAAAATATTTAGTGATTCAAATAACTTTGCTAAGAAGAAAAATAAAGCTGAAGTATAGACCTATTCCTAAAAACTTTGGGAGATACTTTGATGTTTTATTGCATTAGCATGGAAATATATATGAATGAGCAAGTAAACCTGAAATATTTTATATAAAAGAGCTAGAAATAACATTCAAGAATATGCATGTAAAAGACCATATATTTCTATAAAACATATATTTGGCTTTGCATATATAGCTGTATTGAGGTTAAAAGCAACCTATTGTTTTATGCTAATCCATTTAAGGCCTATAAGGCATATTACAAGCTACGTACAGAATCTATTTATGGTATTACTGTGAACGAAAATATCTTCCCCATGATAACAACTTTACATTTACTCCAGTTAAAAAAGTTTACGACACTTAAAAGATATACAAACCCAACAGCTACAAAAAAATATATAGTGCAGTTGATCAGTTCTTAGATGTGGTAGTTGTGTTAGTTTTCTTTTTTCAAGTACATTTTCAGAATAATATGTTTTGATCCTGTGAGACATCGTGTGTCCTTGTAACTTCCTGTGTGTTGCGCTTAAATCTCAAACAATGTTATCAGATTGTCAAGCTACCTTCTGGGAACTGCAAAACATCCCCTCATATGGGGATCAGGAGGGGTGTGCTTGTAGTCCACATCAGGAGTGCAGTCTAGTTTAATAACGCTGCTCTTCCATATATGCATTGCAGTGAGTGAACACTAGAAGTGTGTTACTGGCAGGATCATCAGGGGGGAAAAAAAGGGAAAAAGCCTGAAAAAAGGTCTTTAATGCAACTACTAAGGATTGGTGATCTGCTATATATTACATTTTTGTTTTGGGGTTCAGATATCCTTTAAAGGAAATCTGTCATAAAAAAACCACAAAGTCTGGCTGCAAGTGTTAACCTCTCTTCCTGAAAATGCTAGTTCCATTGGATGTCATGCTGACCTTTCTGCTTCAATACTTTGGGTCACTAACCTGAACCTAAAACATACAGATGAGGACTTCTGATTCTGCTCCAACATTCCGACCTCAATGCTTGATCTAGGTTGATAAAGGGTTGAAGCTAGTGGGTCAACATAATAGCCAAGCAACTCAGATAGAGATTGTCAAAGGCAGCTCGCATATTTTTTTTTTTTGTGACAGATTTATTTTAAAATGTATTTCGTTCTTTGTATATAAACTGTTTTAATTTAGGTTTACTTGTCTACTGGTAAGTCAGTGATTGGAAATGTTTTGAAATGTCAAAATGTACTAGTGTTTTTGGGATCGCATGTGGCCCTCTCCTTGTTTTGACAGTCCTCACTCAAATGAGGCCCCAGCTCTTCTCCAATTGATAAAGACTCAACTCCCTTATATTATTTTATAGATGCCACCGCACGGCAAGGGTTAAGTGCTTGTTTTTTTCTAGGTTCAAAAATAACAAACATACTCATCTGATCCTCCTGGCTGGGACAGTGCTCCCTCCAGCCTGTCTTCTTTTCCACTGCAGTGATGGCATGTCCCTCAGTGTCCTCGCATCCAATATACAGTGTAAAGAACGTGCTGATTAGAGGATCCTTAGACCACTGCAGCAGAAGGGGGGCGGGCAAGGCAGAAGGGACCAGTCTAAAAGCCAGCTGGCTCCAAGGATCAAGTGAGTATGACTTTGTTATTTTTGAACTTAGACAAAAACAAGCACTTAACCTTTACAGTGTGGGGGTAGCCCCAATGCAAGGGTTAAGAATTTTTTCTGCTTTAATACAGCTGCTGTTTCATTTGCATTTGACATGTCTGTGATGGTAATCAGACACAAGGAAATTGGAAACCATGATATCAGTACCTCCTGGGGCCCAAATTTAATTTGCCATATAAGACAATGGAAAATATATTTGAGGAAATACACACCCGTCATTTGAATAATTATATTACTGGGAGTGGGGGTGTAAAGAAAAGTGAAGAAGGGAACAAAGTGAGCTAAAGGGTACTGAAAGGTCATGTTAATATGAATGTGCCTCTGTGACTTCTTTGCACTCAGGCTAACTGTATATTCTATATAAATATCTAATGTTTGTATAAGTTTGGTGCACTGTATTGTACATGCAACATGTGTGTGACATGTTAAAATGGAGCTGTGCAGTCTCATTTATCATGAATGTTGCAATTTTTTAGGCTGTGAATGAAAAAAAATCACAGATATGTATGTGCGGGATCATTTTTGTGCGGCGAATAACTGTGGCAACATGCTGCTACTCAAGTGTAACATTGTGTGTGTTTCATGTAAATAACTGATACCTGCCTGTGCTACAAGTATAAAATGAACTTGTGTGTAGCAGTAAAACTACATTTCCTGCAGCAGTAAACCTTTGTTTTATTGCTGCAAAAATATTATTGTCACACAATGTAAATGAAATAACGTACCTATTAAATGAGAAGTGTTTTGCCAAAGAACTGCAACATTTCCCCCCATAGAAACAGGTGCAAGTTGGCCCTTGGCTGCCTTTCCCACAGTCTTTTGATCAAACTGCTGTCCTCATTATTGTGTTGGGAATGACATTCTTAGCTGCCTGTTACTGGATTTCTGTCAGTTGATCTATTAACATGGTTGCCCAGGGCAACTTGCACCCATTTTGAGGAGACTTTAGCAGTAAGCAGCCTGTAGCTGCTTGAAGACACCCATAATGGCTGACATTTTGAACTACTCATTAAAGTCATCACATGTTTATCACTAATGTTTTTGTCTCCTCATCTGTGCAGAAAATACTTTGTAACAAGTAAGCTCAAGCTTGTCAAGCAAAACTTTTCAAAATAAAATATCTGACATTCATAGGCTCAACATTGCATGTGGCTGTGAAAGAGTTAAGCTGGTCTTGCACTTATAGATTTTCATACAAAGGTTCATATGAAACATGTCGTCAGAATATTCGATAATGCCATCAGAAACTTGACAAATGTTGTTTATTATTATACAGGATTTATATAGCGCCAAACAACATAAGGGGAGACATTACAATTGCAATACAATACCATACACAAGGATTAGAATCAATTTTGGAATAGAGTTTCCTGAATGAAAACCACAATGACTGTTATTCCATCCTGTTCCAGTTGAAAATTCTCCTGGTGTATGGCCAGCTTTGCCTGGAAATAGATTCCCTGCTAGTGACATGAACCATCCCAGCTTTTCTCTATGTACGCTCAGTTGCACGCCTTTGACATTATAGAGACATTTTATTTTTGTACTTTTGTTAAAGTTGAAAAATAGCCATATAAGTTTAATATTAATGCACATGTTTAGGTAGTAACTTAATAATTGTTTCTTCACATCCGGAACTAGGCAACTTGCATTTTTAGGAGGTCAGGTATTGCAGCCCCCTTATTGCTCTTATGACAGGTTTGTTTTAAATTCAGGCTGGTTTTGGCCACAATGCTATCCCTAAACTGTCAGGGCTGCCCCCACACTATTCGCCGCCTGGGGGGGAGATGGGTGCTGGCGGTGTGGCTCAATAATGGGGGGGGTGTTGGTGCTACATCTGGGTCTGGCGGCTCTGTCTAGCATCCTGCCCAGCTCACTGGTTGCCAGGAGCTGGCTGGGACACCAGTGAGCTGGGTGAAAGCTGGATGGAAAGTCACAGGTTGCTAGATCTTAAAAACCTAGGATGCTCTGGCCGACCCCCTACGTGACCCAGTGAGATGATGCCTGAGGCAGGCTGCCTCATTATAGGGATGGCCCTAAATGGTATCATCAAGCCAAGATGCAACAGAATGACTCCTTGGTACTTTTTTATAGCGGCAAAGCTTTCCAAACAGGCTGGTAGCATTTCCTGAGGGTACTTGAAAGGAGAGTATAAACAGAAAATATAGGAGTATAAGATCTGTTTGTAAAATCTGTAAAAAAAAAGTCTGGGATCATGAAACAATTCATTCTTTGTTGATGAGGGTCATGTCTTTCTCTCTCTCTTTATTTACTTCTGTCTTGGATGACTCCTCCCCTTCCACTTTTATTGGTTACTACTTTTGTAGAGCAGCCAATAGTAAACACAGTGGGAT